GCCCTAAACATTGCAGTTAACAGCAGCGACATTCAAAACGTACGTTAGGACTGCGTTTACTGAAAAAATGCCGGCTAACGTTAACATTAGTGCCCTTCTTTGACGTTAACATTATACTATAAGCAGTGACGCTAAAATAGCATTCAAAAGCACTAAGGAAATGCAGCGCTTTACAGCGCTGTGTAAAAACAGCGTTTCCCAAAAATGAAAACATTCCTTTATCATGATATTCTTACAACACTCAAAAAGCAAATAAGAAATGTTCACAGTTGTTTTGATTTACTTACAAGTTGTTCCATTAAGTTTGCTCCGGTCGCTTGCGAGTCTCCGCCATGTTGAATGGATTCTTCTGAACGTCGGTTAGAGCAACGAGGTGACGTCACTTTACGTCACTCAGTAAACTTAAAAATAATAATTTAAATAGAAGAGTTTACTCAAAACTGTTGAGCCACACAAAAATAAAACTAAATTCCTCGTTCAGAAAATGCAATTGTTATAAGTTGCATCAACGATTTAACAGACTTTAATTGCAGTGTTCTTAATCTTTATAAGTTAGTAGTACTGTTCGGGTTTACAGTGTGGGGGCGTGTTAGAACGAGCCGTTTTAGGTAGGCGTGGTTGACTCTTAACTTTTATAAAGAATATCTCTTTGGATTTGAGACTTTAGTCTTTGCAACTTTACAGATCTTCTTTATGCACCAAGAGCTTGTAACACTCCAAAGAGAAAGGAAAACTTGAAATCGCATCATATGACCCCTTTAAAATAGAAAAAAAGTCATTTTATTTTCAATTATTTCACAATTTTACTGTATTTTTGATCAAATAAATGCAGCCCTGATGAGCAAAAAGGGTTTCTTTTACAAACATCTACAAAATCTAGATTTCAAAATAGTGTATAAGAACTAACTGCAGCTTTTATGATAATTCATTGCTTTGCATTTCATTAGCGTGTTGAAATAACAGCTATCAGTTATCACTGGGTAAATTCAAGTAAATCCACATCTATGTAAGCATAGTTCAGAGGTTTCAGTATATAGTTCAGAACAGTCACAAGTATTGGGGCTTCTCCTGCTACACTCATCTCAATCCCAGTGTCTGTCACTCCTGTGCTACCCTCTCCTTCCCAACATCTCTCGCTCTGATTCTGCTCTGGCTCTGAGCTTGGCAGGGTTCCCCACATATGCACCATGCTGCCTCTAAATTAATGACCGCACTTGGGAGAGACAGCCACAATAAAGTTTGCATCACATGCCAATATCCTAAGTGCCTTTGTGGCCTTCTCTCCTTCCAACTGCTCGTCTCTCTGGAATCATTTATATAATAACCCAAAACACAGGCTGACGTCGAAAATGATACAGCCATACCCTATTTGGCTTCACTCCAAATGACTGTTCACATTCAAATATGCACACACTTTGCATTTCAACAATATTATGAGGAGTGGATACTGCAGCCTACACATATTTGAAACTGACAGTTCAGAATCAGAGTTTAAATTAGTTTAATTAAACATTGTTAAAAAACATCTCTTACCGAGTTTGTTCCTCTGATTGCGAATGTTGTCCAGCTCTTTGTAGAGATGGTGCTGAGAGTTTCCACGGAAATAAGAGTTTGACATCGTACCTGAGAGACGGACAAAGACAGGAGGAGCTTTAGAGAAAGACAAAGAGAGCAAAGAATCGAAACAAAGATACTATCATTCTGTTTACTTTGGCTTATTAAGAGCTTCTGTAAAAAGATAAAACCACTAGGAAACATCAGGGAAGTGAACATAAATCAGTGGTTAGAACGTTGTTATCTTTACCGTTACTCAAGTACCTACTTAATATAATCACACCATTTGTCAAGAAAATACATTCATTTACTGAAAGTAAAAAACAGCTTTTACAGTGTGGAGGTAGCAGTTAAATATCGGAATGCATAAGAAGTGAGAGTGAGCTCAATGCCCAGCAGGAAGTTTATCACCACAGTTCAGCCATATTGTATATTGGAACATTTCTATTAAACCGTCTATTTTGCTTTGCTAATTCTGCCACTTTCAACATCTGCAACAATTAAGAAAATCTCATGAGCACCACACATCTGCAATCTCAAATGTGGTTAACAGCGCTGGTAAACAATGCTTTGAAAAATAAACTATTGCATTAGTCCTTTAAAAAATTCAAATTATCATAATATATTATTAAAAAAAAAAACTATAAAAATAAATTAAAAATGAATGATGTAATTAAGGATTAATTACATTAAATCATTAACATGTTTATTTGTTTTGGTGAGTTTTGCCTCTAAAGGTTTTTCCTCTGTCAAAAATAGCTTATAATGAACATAATAGGTGTACTGTTATGATGGTCATTTGTCATTTATTTTATGATGACTTATAATTGTTCCTCATACTCTGAGAGCAAAAATATTAACAACTTTGACAGGTGCATGTCTGATATGCTGGTCCAAGTCCTAAAAGCTTGTTTTTTTTTTTCTCCATAAGAAACTTGACAGTATCAGGATGGAGTCTCAAGACAGAGAGAGAAAGGAGAGGCTTCTGGAGGTATTAGCGAGTAATATTTTAAAAAGCAAAATAATGCTTGTTGCATTTTTGAAATTCAAATGTTATGGTTAAAAAAAAAAATTAAAAAAAAAGTTATGTGAGTTAATTGAAAAAGTAATTTAATTGAAAAGTCTGTGTGCGATGTAAATTTTGTCAACAGTGCAGTAGGCATTTAGAGTGTGGATCAAATGGACAATGCTAAGCATTCGGCTGTTTGCGTCAGAACTGAAGTATACTTTGGGAACGCATTACCCCCAACACTAGTAGTTGTATACTCTAACTGCAGAGTCTAGGGTAGACGTGTGCATGCTGCAACTGGTTCTGACGGAAGAGGGGACTGAGGTTTCTCCTGAACACTGAGTGTGTGTGTGTGTGTGTCAGGAGGTGAGAATGAGAGGGCAAAACCAGAGAGGGGTTCTCCAGGAAAACCACAGACTTCTGTCTCATTTAGCTCTTATTTATCAGTTTCATTCGGTTTTTGTTTTTTTTCCACTGTTTCAGTGGCTCGTTTGCTCCTCAAAGCAAAGGATTGGTTTGCACAGCCTCAGGGGACACACACTGGCAGATCAGCAGCAATTAGTTCAGTGTTACACCATTACTGGCATGCAATAAAAACACAATCTTTCATCTTTTCACCGACATGAGGCTGAGGAGTCAATCACTTTGATCAAAATGTGATTATTGTTATGATGATGATTGTACACGCCCTGTCTGGTAGAGGTTCAGGTTCATAAAGAAATCTATTAAAAGAAAAAAACACAGCAGGTGTGTTCCTGATCGTGTACTAATCTGTACCCTTCAACCAAAATTGTGAGAACAATGATAGGAAATGTCACTATTAGCTGATCAGGACTGGACTGTTCTGCCAAACATGACTCAAGGCTGCCCTGAGGGGCTAACAAGAAGGTTAAGAGTTAAAAGTGAGAGAAAGAACAACAGTTAAGACATCTGATTGGATCTGGATCTTTTTGTCAAAAGCATTGTATGGAATAACCTTTGATTTCCTGTGATTATTAATACCAATGTTTTCACACTTTAAAGTTGGCATGAAATGAAAATTCACCATCTAATTCCTAAATGCATGATGTACTCATCTATGTTTCATAAAAAAATTTAAAAAAAATTGTACCTTTTATAGTGATGTGATAGTGACGTGATGTGTAGCCAAGTATGGTGACCCATACTCAGAATTTGTGCTCTGCATTTCACCCATCCAAGTGCACACACAGCAGTGAGTAGTGAACACACACACACACACAATTGAACAAAAATGTCATATGCCAGACTCAGATCATTTAGTCTGCTTAAACCCTGCCCCTCCACAATCGACTGCAGGCTTGCATTGATGTTTGAGTGCAATGTCCACATCTCATAATTCAATCAACAACCGATGGATTAAACCAAGTATTTGTGTTTCATAGTGAGTTTAACCTTTCAGAAGCTTGAAAGGTACTGATATTAAAGAAAAATTATTATTAATTAATTAGGTACTGCACTTTATCATGTTTACATATTGGCAGATATTTTGTTTGTACAGCGCATTCATACAATTATCAATAAATAACTACCCAAATTCCTTTAAAAACCTAATTCCTGATGACAAACATATGACATAATCTTAATGACATAGGCAATGGTGGGGAAAAAACACTAATAAATCCAACAGTTCATTTAAATCAGCATCAGTCAATAATTTCAGAACTGCTGCTGTCCCCATTTCAGGAAGATTAGAAAACTCTTGCATACAGCCCTTCAATTAAGGTGATAAAGGTGATGCTCAGTAGCGAGGGATGCTGGCAGAAGGAGAGGAGATGATGTCATTGTTTTCTAAAGAAACTTCAGTCGGTTCTGCATTATGTCAGTGGTAATTATGCAAAGCAGAGAGCCATCCGGTACCGAGGAGAGTTTTTGCAAGGTCACCCTGCCACTGCGCATCTGGGCAACAGAGAAAAGCATAGCAAGAGCCAAGACAGAGGACAAACAAATGCCTGCACCCAGACTGGTATGAAAGCACACACTCAGACAAATGCACCTAAACACACAGTTGCAAGACTCCCTAGCAATGCATAAAAAAGTGCTCTTAAGCGCACATTCACATATAGCAAAATAAATACAACTACATGTATGCATTCAGATACTTCATATTTCAAAAAAAAAGAGAGATTACTTTAACCTGTATTAATGGCCTCAACGTCAGGACACTAACAGTAAAGCTGACATGAGATGAAGTAGAGATGCAGATCACTGCATTAATGTAATAACTAACACACTTATTAGCCCACATCAAAGGTCTGCAAAAGAGCGTGTGCAAGCATGTAGGATCTAAATTAAGTTACAGTCAGATGGATAATTGTTATTAGATAGAACACAGATAAGAGAGTAAAGCAAAGTAGACAGTTTCCTCTTGAACTCTTCCCCCCCCCCAACTTCACCTCAGGTTTTGCATTTATGGGGTGAAAGAAGAAAAGAACGAAAATTCCTTAAATTCCTGATAAGGTAAATTCGTTCTCTCCTTAACGCCTGAGTGAGACCTTCCTATAACGCAGAGACATTCCACATCCCTAGTGGCCTTTTGTCACCCGATCACAGTGACTGCCAATGCGGTTCACATCAAACGGCAATCATAAAAAAGCGAAAATCGTTAAAACAGATTACAATTATTTTATCAGGTGTTCAAAGCAAATCCGCCTTTGGTGCCAACACTACAGAACCAAACAACCAAATGAGAGGCTATTGAAATTCATCCATGGGATTTGAGCAACTGGCTACTATCAGTTAAGATCTAGCTTACCTCCGTGAATTCAATAGAAAAGCACATGTTCCATGTTGACTGGCATCTGTACACTCTGTTGTGTGCTTGAGTTGAAGCAAAAGTCTAGTTTGGCTTTAAACATCAACACTTCCTGCATTGTGTGGATGTTTGTGTATGGGAATAGAAGTCAGCTAAAAGAAGATGTATGAGTATGAGAAAACTTTCAAGTATATTTTTAATGATGTTTCACCAGTTACTTAACTACAAAATGTATAGGAAGCACTGGAGCACATGGGTATGATTTCTCAGATACAGGAGGGGTAAGGGAGGTAGTTAAAGAAAGTGAGAAAAACATGAGAGGGTGGTTCAACAGGGGACATAATTCTATTAGAACAAATTTCTCTTTTTTTAACTAAAAATAAACCAAAAACACCACTATTTATAACTGTGATGAATTCATGCTTTGTCAAAAATGTAAGAAAGCACCCAATTAAAGTGATACTCTGCATTTCTTAAAACATCACCAAAACACTGGCAGATTTGTAGCAGAATAAATGCTAGAGGTTACAGATGCAAATAATCCGCTGTCATTCAGGTAATACAGAAAATAATACAAACAGGCAATAAACCTTGCATTTGCCCATCATGCAAAAAACAAAAACACTCACCATTGAGTCTACGCTCCAAGGCCTCTTCCTGCAGCTGTATACAATAAATCTGCTCATCAAGATCCTCTAAAATCTATACAGACAGGAAAAGAGAGGCAAAGGGTGTGAGCGAGAATGATAGGGTGGATCTTTACCAAATGCATACACACACATACATACAGTGTAATAGTACTTACTGTTGGTTTAACTAGTAACTGGCCCATCACTGTGAACATGCGTGACAGTCCTACTGGAGTACACACTGATGAGATGAGACAAGAAGCTGTTTTAAACACACACATGCTCATTTATGCTTTTCTAAAGCAAGAGTAGGAATGCAACCATTGAACTAGTTCAAATTTATTTCACTTCTGTTCAGTAGCAGTGGCTGAAACAAGTAAAAAGGCATTGTGAGGGACAGCAGGGGTGGTTGATATTATTTATTAATATTTTAGCGTTTTAATGTGTATGCCACTTTGACACACATCTATTTGCTCTGGAAAAGATATTTTAAGCCATTTTAATTATAGGAATCATTTCAACAAAACAGCTACTGCTGCCAATGAGATTCATGAAAGTATTCAAAAGTAAAATCTAGTTATGTTTTCCACACTGTTTTTCACTAAATGAACAAAAGAAGGAATGAATCGATTTAATTGTATGCACCAATACAACATTACATAGGAATAATTGCATTTGCATTTTTATTAAAACATTAAAATTCCACATGGCCACCTTAACATCAATCGCCTCATTCACAGTTTTGCTTAATTTTATATTGCCAGCAAAATTATTGTGAATATACCATACATTTTCAAAATATCACCCAGTCCTAAAGCCTTAAAAAGGCTGATGCTCAACCAGCTGTAGAGAAGGTTCATCTCAAAACAGCAAATTGTAGTAACACTTGCTCTCCAAATACAGACATGACTTTATTTCTTTAGAAACGGTCCAACTTCAAGGTCTTCATAAGACAGTGCTTAATTTTCCTCACAATTTTCATACTCTTCACTGCACTGGAAGTTACAGTGTCCACTAAGGGCTAAATACAAAAGCGATTGTGCACTGACAGCACGGTTTCATATGAACTTACTAAGCAGCAACAGGCCTCCCATCAGAGAGATGCAGGAATAGAGGTATGGCAGATAAAACTCCCATAAATCTAGAACAAGAGAACGTGACAGGCACAGTAAACCACAGATCAATACATAACTGATTATATCACATGCATGCATCCACAACTGCAGGAGGAGGGTTAAGAGACATACCGTAGAGCGATTCCATGCTGGCGGCATCATTGTCAATGAGAGCGGACGCCACCCATACAATGCCCAGGATGAGGAGACCCAGCAGAAAGAGCATGACAAATGTCTCCAGCACTCGAGCCTTTATGCCCTGAAACCAACAAACACCCTCTTTAAAGTTTTCAAGCTAACTTATGACTGTGGCCAAGAGTGATTCACAAACACACACACACACACACACAGTTTAGCAGGTGTAAATGAGGCTCTAATTGGAAATTTAGCTCTGGAAGCCCCAGGACTTCCCTATAACACTGATTCAATGTCAAGCTCCCTTCCCAACACAAAACGCACACACAACAATAGGTCACCAGATACGCAAAGAAACTAATGACCTTCCTCTCTCTCATTCACTGACACACACACACATACACTTATATAAAGTTATTACCATGTCCGGTCAGAGTTTGCGGCTAAAATGAAAAAGGTGGCTGCTACTGTCTGAGATTAACACCAGAGGCTCATCTGGAAACTATTAGGAGTTTTTTTCTCGGTCAGTAAGTGCCTTATGCGTGGCATTTAACTCCACTTCTGATTTACTCATTCCCCCGAACCTACATACTGATGACGGTGGTGACTGCAAGTGTTTGTAAACCGCAACACTGTGATGAGTCTGATCTTTCACTCTGCAGAAAACACACAAATACACACAGTTCCTGGGGTCAGTAAGGTTTTTTTGGGGGAAGAAATTAATACTTTTATTTAGCAATGATGCATTAAATGTATCATGGAAGCAACATGACTTGTTTTCAACATTAAAAATAATTAGAAATGTTTCTTGAACAGCAAATTAGCATATTATAATGACTTCTGGAGGATCACGTGACACTGAAGACTGGAGTAATGGCTGCTGAAAATTCAGATTTGCCATTACTGGAATAAATTACATTTAAAATACATTAAAATAGAAAACTTTTTTTAATTGTACTAATACACTATATTAATATTTCCCTGTATTTTTGAGCATATAAAAGCAGCCTTGGTGAACATTAGAGACTTCGTTCAAAAAATCTTACCAATCTCAAACATTTGAATGGTAGCTTACACGTCCATCATTCACAATGACAGTGGATACAAGTGACAAACTGAGATGCAAGCATGTACAACATTTATAAGCAGTAAATGAATCCAGAAATGACACATCTGACCATTAAGATTATTTCCCTTCACCTTAAACCCAACTGTCCGTTCCACACATGTTCAAGTGTCTACATTCCCTGATTCCTATACATGTCTGTCTCAATCCTTAAGGCACTTTGTATATGTGCAGAATTTAATAGCCCTTCTTGATATTAAGAATCTAGAGCACCTCCAAGTGACTTCCTGATGAACAACATCTGCCTCATACCAGACTTCCCTCAATGGACTTTGAACCTTTGATATTTGGACTGTGATTTAGCATCTTTTAAAGAATAAGTGTTCATAAATAACACTGAAAGTCAGCAAAAAAAAAAAAAAACATTTTTAAAGTAACTAGTACAGACCTCTCAATGTATTTGGAAGCAAGAGAAGAGTTTTAAAAGTGAATTGTTACCATTCCTGTCTCTAAGACGGAGAGAGAGACGTGGCAGAAAAGCCAGAGAAGTCTTGAGCTCTTCTTCTCTTGCCCATCTAAATGTGAGCACTGCTTAATATAGTAACTCTAAAATATTCAGCATCTAGTCCTTTCCTCACACACACACACTCTCTCTCTCTCTCTCTCTCTCTCTCTCTCTCACACACACACACACTGCAGTATACTCTAATCGGACAGCTGCTAATATCAGGTTGACTTCCAAGATATATCCAAGAGATATACAGTAGATAGTTGGAAAAGCAAGTGTTTGCATTTATGCATGTTTTGTTAGTCTGATTCACCCTAAGAGGGCTCTCCCTGACCTTACACACCCTCAGTCAGTGTCAGGGTCACAAACTGCTCTCTCTCGCTCTCATTCTCCAAATGACTGTCTGCATAACAATATAACAAATAGAATATAATAAAGACATCTTTTAAATGTTATTAATGGTTAGTGCATCTCAGTCTGAAGGAAAACAAAAAGAGAGCTTTTCCCAAAGAAAAAAAAGAAGAGGTCCCACTTTATATTAAGTGGCCCTAATACCTGTGTACTTACATAGTAACTAGATGTGTACGTAGTATGTAACCACAGTGTAAGTACACATTGGTACATAGTATCTGCAGCTCTAATGTTTGTGTAACTACACACATGTAACAACCCTCTGAATGGTTTGTGTAAGTAGGGTAGGTTTAGGGGTGGAAATGGGATCCAGGGGGTGGAGATAGGTAGGTGTAGGGATATGTAAAGTGGGAGGAGTTGGATCTCAAGTTGGTGCTTACATGGTAACTCCTCAGGAACTGTCCACTTAATATAAAGTGTAACATTCTGGACACCAACCACAATTTATATGTAAAGCCTAACTTACTGGCCGCTGCTGTGTAACATCAGAGTAATTACATGGTAAATCCATAGGAATTGTCTGCTTAATATAAAGTTTAACACTTTCTTTACCAAAAAGTGTTGTTAGTCCTGTTACACATTACATTTCTACTTACACATACCATTCAGTGGGTTGTTACATATGTGTAGTTACACAAACATTACAGCTGTAGATACTATGTACCAATGTGTACTTACACTGTGGTTGCATACTATGTACACATCTAGTTACTATGTAAGTACACAGGTATTAGGGTCATAAAGTGGGACCACTAAAAAGTCTGACTGCAGTTTCAATTCTTAAGACGCATCTCTGATCTTGTACACAAAACAACAGAAATGTTCACAAACATGCAGCGTATTTCCTTTGTCCACTATGATTTCCCCTCCATGAACTACTAACTCTCATCAATAAAGGCTTAGCATGAACAGTATTATTACCTTCTCTTTAAGCCTGCTACACTGAAAGCAGTGTCAGAGACACAAAACAGAGCGCAGAACATGCAGGGGACATGAATCACTGTGTATCAACACACACACACACACACACAAGCCATTGATGTGCCATTCTGACTAATACGGTAAATACGTTAGAGAAAACAGAATATATGACTTAAGGAAGGCACTTCAGTACTTTTGAAGTTTGTGTGTGTGTTTCATTTTTTTTTTATCCCTCTTCCTACAGTGTCACCATCTTTTTCTTGTTAGAATGAGGTGTCTAACAAATAAGACCTATGAGAACAGCTTCTGAACTAATCTGGGGTTTGTCAAGAACACAAACAGCAAGATGTTAAAAGCCAAGAAAATGTTTAAAAGAGTGATAAAAATAAGAAATGATTCCGAAATAAACTGAAACGGCAAACAGGCAAAAAATTTTCAGTGTGTTGTTAAAAGTACTAATACACATCCACTGCGATAGTCAAATTAATACATCCCTCTCTTCCCAGAACAGTATGGCACAGTGCTGATGGTAGTGAACAGTGCACACACATTCATTTGCATTAAAGCAAACCTTGCAAGAAACATCTCAATACATACAAATATTCACGCTTTCTAAGGCTTGACTATGGAGGCTATTACCCAATCCAGTGTTGTGCCTTTTCCCATCAAAATAGAGAAACTCATATGTTGTCATAGAAACGGGTATAGAATGGAGCAGGCAAAGTAAATACGCAGTGTCATGGCCTTAGCAAGCAAAGCCTGGGAGCGAGAATCACATCTCAAAAATAAATATCAGCCCTATTGTGGACAGACTACAAAGGAAGAGACTGCCAAACACACACACACACACACACACAGAGAGAGAGATCTGATCATTTTTAGCATGTTCAAGGTTCATGTCATTCCTAAGGAATCGGTTAGGTGATGTCCATTTGCATAGTGATAATAACCAATAGATTTCGTAGAGCCTCGTAGAGAATTAGGAGGCCATTAGGACCTCCTCATTTGATTTTTTTAATGATATACTGACTGGGGAATCAGGTTCTTTCTTACTGAAATCATAATCCTGCCACCTGTTGGACAAAATCAGAACTGCAGGTCCAGGCCACACACATATCTGTTCATCCAGAGCACCCTTACAAAGCTTTGTGTGTATTCAAAGGTTCGGAGTAATTAAGATTTTTAATGTTTTTGAAAGACGTCTCTTATGTTCACCAAGGCTGCATTTATTTGATCAAAAATAGTAATGTTGTGAAATATTTTTACTATTTAAAATAACTGTTTTCTATTTTAATATAATTTCAAATGAAATTTATTCATATGATGGCAAAGCTCATTTTTTACACGATTCTTCAGATCCTTCACATGATTACATGATCCTCCAGAAATCATTCTACTATGCTGATTTGTTATTTGATATGCTTTATTATCAATGATGAAAACCGTTGAAGCATCCAGATCAGCAGCTGATGAGTTTTTCAGGATTCTTTCATGAATAGAAAATTCAAAAGAAAAGCATTTATTTCAAACAGAAATCTTTTGCAACATTATAAAATGTTAAAATTTAATGCATCCCTGTTGAAAAAAAGTATTAATTTGTTTCTGTTCTTTATTTTTTTTTACTTAATTTTTTTTTTTAATGATTGTGTATCACTGTTTCCACAAAAAAAAACTACTAAGCACAACTGTTTTCAACACTGATAATAAGAAATGTTTCTTGAGTAGCAAATCAGCATATTAGAATGATTTCTGATGGATCATGTGTCACTGAAGACTGGAGTAATGACTGCTGAAAATTCAGCTTTGCATCACAGGAATATGTTACAAAAATGTATTCAAATATTATATGAAAATAAATTGAATATTATAAAATATATTCAAATAGAAAACAGCTATTTTAAATTGTAGAAATATTTAACAATATTAATGTTTTTACTATATTTTTGATCGAATAAATGTAGCCTTGGTGAGCATAAGAGAGAGAGAAAGCAATTCTGTCACACACTTTCCTTCCCGACAGATATTTTTGGTTTTGTTTATTACATTTGATGAAGTACTAATACAAACACTGGCCCATAAAACGCACCAGCTACAGCTCTCACAAGCTTTTAACAAACTACCCAGTTTCATTTCCTCCAGTTACTGAATGTAATTTGCCATATATATGTCCCCATTTAACCATCTAACATGGAGACTGGCACAAGCAGGCCATTTGACT